ATTTTATCTTTTTTATTATTGAAAGTTGTTTAATATTAATTTTATAAAAAATTAAATATAAAATAAATTAAAGTTTTTTTTTAAATTTTCGTGAAAATGAATTAAAAAAAATATATAGCGCTGAATAATTAATTTTCCGTACATGATCTTCAGGGCCAATTAGCCGGACTTCAGTAAGGCCTGTCTTGCATTTTCCTTCATAAATTACGAATTTACCGGCGAGTTTCTTAACCAAGGCATATGATTTCAAACTAAAGCAAGGTGTTGTCCCCTTCATCATAAATTGCACAGTTATCAACCTATCTTCAAACTGGCACCTGTTTTTGCCTAAAATTAGTCAACATTAGCAATGATTCTTTGCATTCTTTTGGGTCAAAGATCACGACTTTTTTAATTGCGCAGCTCTATTTTCCGCTTTCGACTCCTGAGTCTTGACAAAAGATCTTGACTCAAAAAATAAAGTCTTTCTATGCATTCTCATGATCATGCACTGCCCTCTCTTCCAATGAAGTTTTTTTTTTTCTTTTTTCTTTTTTTGTGAATAGGTAAATCAAAGTCGTTTGCAGACGTAAAAGTATATACTAGCCTTGATATATAAGTTAAAGCTAACTTCCACCTCTGTGTGGTACCTCTGCTCCATGTCCTCTTTTCTCATAGCAATGGCCAACCATTTCTGTTGTTCATGGAGCTTACCTTGCTTCCTCCCCTTCATGTTTCTTCTTCCTTGTGTTAATTCGATTTACTTTAAGATATCTCGTTTCGACCCTGATGCAACCAACATTGTCTATGAGGGAGATGCACGACCTTATGTTGGTGCTGTTGACTTCAACAGCGTAACTTATCTGTGTCGTGTTGGTCGAGTTTCCTATGCCCAGAGTGTGCCAATCTGGGACTCTGGGACTAACAAGGTTGCTGACTTCACCACTCATTTCTCCTTCTTTATTGATACTCTAAATCGTAACATTTCCAGGTATGCAGCAGGCCTTGCTTTCTTTCTTGCTCCTGTTGGATTTGAAATCCCACCCAATTCTGCAGGTGGATTTCTAGGCTTATTTAACACCACAACAAGTGATTCAACTCGGAACCAAATTGTTCTAGTTGAGTTTGACACTTTCCCCAACCCTGAATGGGATCCACCAGTTGAGCATGTGGGGATCAACACTAATTCAATTTCTTCAGCTAAGTACCACCCCTGGAATTTTAGTTTGTACAGTGGGAAAACTGCCGATGCGTGGATTTCTTATAATGCTACTACTAAGAATTTGAGCGTTACATGGAATTATCAAGCCACCACAATTTCTCAGCACAACTTCAGTCTTTCCCATCATATTGATCTGAAGCAAATCTTACCTGAGTGGGTGAAGATTGGATTTTCAGCTTCTACAAGTCATGTTCAAGAGGGCCATCGACTTTTATTTTGGGAATTCAGCTCGAGTTTAGAAATAAAGGAAACAAAGGGCAAGAAGACTAAAAACATAAAATTGATAGCAGTTCTAGCAGTTTTGCTGGGCATTTTAGTGACTGTTGTCAGCGTGTTATTTGTGTTTTTCTGGAGGTGGAAGAAGATGAAAGAAGAAAGAGAAGAGAGAACAAACTTAACTTCCATCAATGACGACCTGGAAAGAGGAGCAGGACCAAGAAGGTTTTCTTACACTGATCTTGTTGTAGCTACCAACAACTTCTCAAATCAGAGAAAGTTGGGTGAAGGAGGATTTGGTTGCGTATACAAAGGGTATTTCAATGATATAGATACAGCAGTTGCAGTGAAGAAAATTGCAAGGGGCTCAAGACAAGGGAAAAAGGAGTACATTACTGAAATTAAGATCATTAGTCGGTTGCGGCACCGGAATCTGGTGCAACTCATAGGTTGGTGCCATGATGGAGGTGAGTTTCTACTTGTCTATGAGTTCATGTCTAATGGTAGCCTTGATTTTCACCTCTTTGGAAAGAAGACTCCTATCAGTTGGCCCTCTAGGTACAAAATAGCTCGAGGCTTGGCCTCTGCATTGCTATATCTTCATGAAGAGTGGGAGCAATGTGTGGTTCACCGTGACATCAAATCGAGCAATGTGATGCTAGATTCTAGTTTTAATGTTAAGCTAGGTGACTTTGGATTAGCTCGGTTGATGGACCATGAGCTAGGTCCCTTGACAACAGGATTGGCAGGAACATTAGGGTACATGGCCCCGGAATATATAAGAACTGGCAGGGCAAGTAAGGCATCAGATGTGTACAGTTTCGGGATAGTTGCCTTAGAAATTGCTGCAGGGAGAAGGTCAGTTGATCCTATAGAAGAAAATTCCCAAAGGGGTCTGGTAGAGTGGGTTTGGCATCTTTATGGAACTGGCAACCTTATTTCAGCTGTTGATCAGAGGTTGCATGCAGATTTTGATGAAAAACAAATGGAGTGTTTAATGATTGTTGGACTCTGGTGTGCTCACCCTGATAGCAATCTAAGACCATCAATCAGGCAAGCAATTCAGGTCCTTGATTTTGATGTGGCACTTCCTAATCTCCCAGTGAAAATGCCTGTTCCTGCCTATCATCAACCTATAGCATCAAGCAGTAGTAATGAACCTTTGATGACTGATTCAAACCTCGAAGTGGGTCCTTAAGCCATCTCATCACACTTGTCTACGATTAAATGTCCTGGTGTCTCCAATTTTCGTTGTTTATGTAAAGAAAGACACATATATCCCATGTTTGGTCTTGTATTTGTAGTCAAAACTTTTCCTGCAATTTTTTATAATGTTATTTTAATTAGGTTTATATCATGATATTCCTGGATAACAAAAATATTTTTTTATTTGCATTAATCTGCTGATACAACTAATAATGGCGGAGTAATATAACTTTGGAAGCTTGTTGTACATGAAATGTCATGATCATTAAGCTTTCTGTTAGTAACACTTAACCATTGCGACCTTTTTAATCTCAGACTGAAAATAATGCAAGCTTTAACAGCGTTTGCCACATTTAATAAAAGTTGGCCCATTTTGGCCTTCGTTTGTCATATGATTCGATTAAGAGCAACATTGGGCTGTTAAGAGGGCCTACTCTGGGCCGTTTAGCCTCCGTTGCTCAAGTCAAAAAGTTATGAATAATGACTACTTAGGTACATTCGTTTTGGTGACACTAGAATTGCCCCTTGCGTTGTCCTCGGATCAAATAAAAAACATTGATGAAAGTGTAAATGACAAAAAATTTATACAAAAAAATTGTTACAATTTTGACTACCATGTGAGAAAGTATAATTGTTTTTGATAATTGCATGCATTCATTTGCATATATTCAAGAAAAAGTGGATGTTCATAAATAAAATTGAGATGATGATATGCTGTTGAATTTATTGCTTGCATTGCTACCAGTTTAAGCAAAAGTCATTGTTTACGAACAAAACAAAGTTAA